GTGGACATGTCCCCGTGCGTGCCGTCCCTCCGGGGTGCCGCTGGGCTCTCTCCATCGCCGCTTCCCTGTGGCAGGACCCGGCATCTCCAGCTACGCCGATGAGCCTGCAGGGGCTGGCGCCAGCCTGAAGCCTTGCCTGGACAAGGCCATGAAGATCGTCCCGGCCGAGCAGCAGCGGGAGACCCCCACGTACCTGGGGGCCACGGCCGGCATGCGGCTGCTGAGGTAGCGGCACGGGCAGGGGCAGCTGCCGGCCTTGGCGGCGCTCCGGGGCCGCCCGCAGCCGGGGCTGGCAGCGGGGCACAGGGGCTGGGGCTCGGGGGCGCTGCCAGCCCTGGGGGGCCGTGGGGACGGGCAGAGCATCCCTGCCTGCGCTGCCCTGGGCTGGCCGGGAGAGCCGCCGGCCGTGCCCGGGGCCCGGCCCCGGCCCTGTGCAGCCCCGGGCCGGCAGCAGCCCCAGAGGGGACGAGCCCCCTCAGGCGGAGCGGCAGCAGCTCCTGCAGGGCTGCGGCACAGGCTGCGGGCGGCATCTTTAGGGACATGGCCTCGGGCCCGGCTGAGCCATGCGGGGTTTGCGGGAGCCGGCCGCAGGCAGGGCAGCGCTGGGAGATGTCTCACAGCAGCTCCTTGGCAGGGCACGGCCGCCTCTCGCTGCCAGCCCGGCTCCCAGAGCTGCCAGCCGGGGCCTGCAGCACCTGAGCTGCCGGTGCCTTTGCTGGCAGGGAGGAGAACGGCACCAAGGCCCAGCAGGTGTTGGCCGAGGTGTCCAAGGCCATCGGGGAGTATCCCGTGCATTTCCGCGGAGCTCGGATCCTGACGGGCAGCGAGGAGGGCTCCTTTGGCTGGATCACTGTCAACTACCTGCTGGAGACACTGCTCAAGGTGCAGCTGGGGACGGGGGAGTGCGGAGAGCGTCCCTGTGCGAGCTCCAGCAGCTTTCCTGACGTGCACAGGAGGGAAGAGCGGAGCTCTGGGACACCGCTCACCCGAGCCAAGGGCCCCTGTGCTCGGGGGCTGCAGATTCTACCCCACTGAAGTGATTCCCAGCACCTTTGTGTCCTGCTCGGCCTGGCCCTGTGCTCTGGTTGCTGACACACGGGTGGATTTTGGGATGCCGGGGACACGGGATCGGCCTCCGGGAGACAGAGTTCCTTTTTCCCTGCCCAGAGGGAAATGTGGGTGCCAGCAGATGTGCAGCAGCCAAGAGGCCGCAGCTCAGTGCTCGGGGCAGTGTGTGTGGCTTGAGGAGGATGTGGGCAGGCAGGGGTGAAACGGGGAGCACGTGGAAGGTGCCTCTGGGGCTTGTGAGGCCCAAAGTCCCTGAAGGAAGGGAGGGAGGGAGGGAGGGAG